GCGGCGTTCCAACTTTGAAATCTACTCCACATGGCATTTTAAACTTTGAATGTACAAGAGTCCCCCTTGTACATTTCAAAGAGGAAGCACCCCATGGAGCCTGGAGTGAGCAGGACTCCCTGCTGGCCCAAGGCTCCATGCGGTGTTTCAATCTTTGAAATTCACAAGAGTCCCCACTGGGACTCTTGTACATTTCAAAGACGAACCCGCTACTTTGAAATCTACTCCACATGGCATTTTAAACTTTGAATGTACAAGAGTCCCCCTTGTACATTTCAAAGAGGAAGCACCCCATGGAGCCTGGAGTGAGCAGGACTCCCTGCTGGCCCAAGGCTCCATGCGGTGTTTCAATCTTTGAAATTCACAAGAGTCCCCACTGGGACTCTTGTACATTTCAAAGACGAACCCGCTAGTTCTTATCGAATAATTGAAAAGTTGATGGAAATCCCATCCACTGTTCGATTAGTTAATTCATCAAAATTTAGCATCCCTTGTTTTCAATTCAAATCGAATCCTACCATCCCTAATTCTGAAACAAATCTCCTAACAAGGCCCATCGAGATACTTAAAATAGGAGACAAAACACTAGAGGATACATTAGAGGGGAGATACAGTGCTCCAGGGAAGCAAAGGGAACCGGATGACTTTACAGATCCTTTCCACCACTGATTTCTGAGAGAAAGCCAGTGCACAAGCAGGACAGGCAAACAAGATACTTAAAATCAACACTGGATTTCAAGTATTAATGCCCAGTGAAGTCCTAGCCAAACACCATATTGATCTCAATGGTTCCTGATTACATCCTGAGGATGGGAAAGCTGGTGGTGCTACAATATTACTAGAAGATTTACCCGGTTTTGCTCAGGTCCTTAATACAATTAATTTTTTTTTTTTTTAAAAGTAAAATGAAATCGTACATGTTTCATTTCAATCACTGCTCTGGGGTGGGGCTGGGGAGGAGGAGTTGACTAGGCAGGCTGCCCCTAGGAGAGAGGACTACCCCAGCCCTCTCACTGCAGCAGCTTGGAGCCAGGGGAGAAGCGCCTCTCTATGGCCACTGCAGCTCCAGCAGGCATGGCTGGGGGAGGGGGGTGTTCCCCCCCGACTGGGGCAGGTCCAGATTCGTCTGCCCCCCGCGCTCCCCAGCCAGAGCGAGGAATGCAGCCAACTGTGCACTTTCCCTTTGCTCCCTAACGAAGGGGAACAGCCAACAATTTTCCTGCATGAATGTGGGAGACAGGGAGGAGAAAGCTTCAGACCCTTTTGCCTTCTCCTACAGGCAACTGGGGGAATGGGAGGCTCAAGCCATTTCAGACAGGTGATGGGGTCCCCCAGCCAGCTCCTTTCACCTGCCTGGTCATTTTCACTTTGCTTCTCAGAAAACCACAGAAATCTCATTCCAGGCACATCCCATTTTCCTGGTATAATCAAACACTGCCCTTGCTTTAAGTTATGGTATAAGGAAACTGTACACCGAATCTGGTGGTCCTAGTTCTTATAGTTTAGGAAGAGTTCTTGAACAAACACACAGATTCTCTCAAATACATACTAGACTAGACCAGTGTTTCTCAATCAGTGGTACGAATATCCTTAGGGGTATGCGAGACATCTAGGGGGTATGTCAACAACTGAAATTTGGAGAAAATTGAATTGGTTTTAATTTTTATAGCACTGTATTATTTTTGTACTTTTTACACCCAAAAATTTCACCACCAGCCTGGCTACAATTAAGTTGTTTAAACAAATGTGTTGCAATGGGAGGAAAAATTGTGTATGTCTGAAAACTGTAGGTACTGGGGGTATTTATAATCAGGGCTCGCCAAGTGGCGGCGAGCCCCACTCGCCAGCCACGCGGTTCTGCGTTCTGCACATGTGCAGATCGTTCTGCGCTGGCTCTTCCGGGTTGTAATCTACTCGCCATGAGCAAGTAGATTACATTATTTGTCAAGCCCTGTTTATAATTATTATTATTTTGAAAAAGGAGTACTTTATAAAAAAGGTTGAGAATCACTGTAATACACCAACCTTTCTTGGTCTAGTCCAGTGTTTAGCCACTGGAGGCCACAGTCGAGTGTTTCATTTAAACAAATGTTCTCTATAGTCAAGTTTAGCCTTTCCCAGAAAGGAGCTGCAGACACAAGTAACTCTAAGGCAGTGGTTCCCAAACTTTTCGGCATCACGCCTCCTTTTTGATCTTTGAAAAACCCTCATCCCCTCCCCCGCCTCCAAGTAGCAGCAAAACTTGAGCAAAAAAAGAACTGACTGGGGCAGCAAAACTTGATTGGAGGGTGGGGAGGAGGCTGGGTCACCTTGCACCCACCCTGGAATTTCTTCACGCCCCCCAATTTGGAAACCCATGCTCTAAGGGCTTATCTAGAGGTTTCCATAGTTCACAGCGAGGTGGGATGCAAATCTACCCTGCACTGTCTGCGCAGACACTGCCAACAAGCCTTTACAGTACCATAAGTGCACTTTGATCTACTCTGCTTTGAAACAGGAGTGGATCAAAATGCACTAGGGAACTGTTCATGTGTGTTAGCAGGGTACACAAGGACAGTTAGCTTGCAGTAGGCTAGTGAAGGTCGAGTAACATCTCAGCTTGTTGTGAACTACACATTCATGTAGACAAACCTGAAAACTAGCCATGATCTAGCTGCTACTTACAGACACTGCATTTTGAACCTTTGGATGACATACCAGCGAGTACGTACTTGCACTCCAAATGCAGTTCAGTGTTTGCTCCGCAGAGCCAATTAAATCCCAACCCCAAAGGGAAAACTGAAATTTAACGTTACCTCGCCTCATTGCTTCCTGCTTCTGCACAGATTCTTCCTGCTTCCTCAAGTTCTCCTCATTAAGGAGTTGCTACAAAGAAGAGATCACAACAAAAGAAGATTTAGGTTGTGAGAAAAGGCAAAACAGAAAAATGGAAAACTGTTTGTAGTTTTCACACACACTAGCTGTTTTAAGGTCACCAATCAACCTAAAACACATGCAGACCAAAACATTACAAACATTCTGGGGAAAAACAAAAAACAAAACAATCCTTAGAATTAAATATGTTCTTCCTATGAACCCACCACCCCATCACCAAGACTCATATTCAGGATCTCATGTTCTCCCAGCTATTTCTTGCTTCTTTGCGATATTTGCTGTCAGTTTCTTTTGCGTCACACTGAAGCCTGCTAGGCTGGGAATGCAAAAACCCTGAGGCTGTGCAAAAAAACGAAGCCCTCGCATCATAGTGGTGAATAGCATCAGTCACTAGGTCATGAGGATTGAGCATCATTGCTCCAGGTGAAGTTAATATGGATCATCTAGGCTCTCAGCAGTTTTATAAGACAAAATATCTTACCTGCTGTCGCAGCTGCTCTTCGTAGCGCTGTCTTGCCAGCTTGTCCTGATATTGGGCCCTCTTCAAAAAAGAAAAGAGAAAATGCACAAACATTAAGGTTATTCTTGTATCCCTGCTCAAATCAGTAACGAGGCTTGGAGAAAACAAAGTGAAGAAGATCAGCATCTGAAAAACAACACTGCCAAGGTGTGAGACAGTCAGTCCTAGACCAGTGGCAAAAAAAGCTGAAGGTGTATGGCAGCGGGGATTTGAAGTTATGATAAATGAAAATACAGGGCTAGTGACGAATGCTTCAAAGCATCTGGAAATCTTTGCTTTTCCCATGGATAAAGCACGTTCTCAGCAAATGGCAAGGATGTTGTACCTTAACGTCAGTCTGTCAGCAATAAGAATAAAAGCTGAACTGCATTTTCCCAATTGCAGCATCACATGAACGGTTATAACCCCTCATGTACCCCATCAAAAAGTACAGCAGCCAATTAATAACCCAGAATTTGATTTTTCTTTTCAAGATGGTAACTTCCTGAGTTCTTTCTACGGGGTTAAATTCCGGAAAACTTGAGAAGCAGGGAAAATTAGAGGCAACCTGAGGTGGCACTCCAAGTAACTTTGGATTCATTTCATTGTCCAGACTACAGACATGCTATATAAGCCAACAGTTTTCAATTCTTCTCTTACCATGATGTGTACATAGAATCCTAGAACTCGAAGGGACCTTGAGAGGTCATTGAGTCCAGTCTCCTGCCCTCATATAAGGACCAAGCACTATCCAGATCATCCCTGATAGGTGTCTATCCAACCTCCTCTTAAATATCTCCACTGATGGAGATTCTACAATCTTCCTAGGCAATTTATTCCAGTGCTTAACCACTCTAACTGGAAGTTTCTCCTAATGTCCAACCTAAACCTCCCTTGCTGCAAGTTAAGCCCGTTGTTTTTTGTCCTGGGGTACATGCAAGCTACAATGCACCCCAGAACTTTTACACCATGTACTGCAGCACTTAAAGATGATTCAAAGGCAGAGCCTAGTAACTGGTATAATTTACTTGATTCTCCAGGATGTCTGAGAGACTGCTACAAGTGATGAGGCAAACCAGCATCAATGGAATGCCAGAACTGGGGAATGAGGCAGATTCAATTGGGGATGCACTCCCCTTAAGGACAGCAACCCCCAGGTGGAGAACAACTGTTGTAACTGCAGAAGCCTATCATGGTGTTTTGCTAGCTGGAATGGGAAACAAGCCAGCCATCAGATCTGCTGGCTTCCCCCAGTTTCCTTACCGCTTGATGCTGTCTGGTTTCTTCATTTAGCGTTTTTCTTCTCTCCTCTGCTTGTACTCGGATCTGGTCATTCTTTAGCTGCTCAATGGCCGCTTCATATTCCTATGAAAAAGACGTCAGCTGAACACAAAAGCCTCTAGAAGGCTACAAACTATGACATTCTTCAGAATAGTCCTTCTAGTAAGTTTCTGTTCCTTGGTGGGGTGATCTTTCGAAAAGAAGGATGTAGATTAGGCAGATTGAAAGTGCAAATGAAGCACGGATTTAAATATTCCATGCTTCATTTGCATATTCATGTCCGATCATTGTTTTGAAAAAGGGTATTTCAAATGTGAAACCACAGTCTAGCTGCTGTTCTTTTGAAAACAAACAAACAAACAAACAAACAAAAAAAAACCCCTTTTTCGAAAGATCCAGTACTCATTTTTTCAGGAGTACAGGATCTTTTGAAAAAGGGGTTTTATCCCCCCTGAAAGAACCGCATCTAGACTCTGGTTTCAATTTCGAAATACCCTTTTTCGAAACAGCGATCGGACGTGAATACGCAAACGAAGCACAGGATACTTAAATCCACGCTTCATTTGCTCTTTCGATCAGGCTCATTTACATCCCTCTTTTGAAAGAGGGATGTAGTCTAGACGAGCCCAGAGTTAAGATGCCTGGTCTTTTCTGATTTTGCATTTTGCAAAATGTCACATGCACATGCCATATTGAGATGACCAGATGCCCCATTTTTAAAGGGACAGTCCCATATTTAAACCCTCCTGCAAGGGACCCTTTTTCTTAAAAATGGGCAAATTGTGGGGTAGTTTGTTTCTCTTCTCCCATCAGTACTGATGGGTCCTACTGCTGAGCAGATCCTTGCTTGTCAGGCTGGCCACCCATCAACGGTGAGTTCGGGAAGGGGTGTTGAGTGGCAAGGCTGGTGGTCAGGCAAAGCTGCGACATGCATGGCCGGCGCGACTCCTTACTGGTCCGACAGTGCAGTCCCTGCTGCGAGCAGACTCTTGGCCAGAAGGCTCATGCCCACAGGCTATTTGCTTGGGTGGCTGGTTACGCGTTGCCTCAGCTGCCCACTCATCAACCCTGTACATGCTCTCCCTCTCACTGTCCCCTTCCTGATGTATCCTTCACCCATGCCCCCATACCAATGCTCCAGTGGAGTAGGTCTGCTCCCAGTGCTGCATGGTGAACCAGCCCCAGGTTGGATCATTCAAGCTCATCAACAGCCTGGGTGTCAGGCTCCCTCCTTCCCCCGCTGACTCTTGTTGGGCTGGTGCTTGGGGAAAGCTCAGCCCCTTCAGCCAGGAAGCTGGCAAAGCTCCACACAGCATTGGCACAAAAATGTCACTCTGCCGTTAGCCAAGCTCTGGAATGGCAAGAAGGAAGCCCTTTCCAGCCTATTCGCACCAAAACCCTGCATAGCAAATGCTGCATAGCACCCCCTCTGACTCTCTCCCTGCAATGATGCTTAGCACCCTCTTCACGCTCTGTCCCACCAGAGCCATCTCTCTGGCCCGGTTCGCTGAAGCCTCTGCAGTCAAGTTCCCTGGTGCACAATGCATCCTAGGGTTTATCCCCCTCCTGCCCCGCTGTAGGCAGGGGACAGGAGGCAGCTGGGTTATGTCAGTGGCCAGCAGCAGCATGGATGTATTAACCGCCTTTCTACACTGTACAAGCAGGAAGGGGCAAGACGCTTCTAGCCACAGGGAAGCAGTGAGGGAGGGTGGAGGAGGGAAAAGATGACCTCTGCAAAATACAAGCTAGGTCATCCCTACTCTCTGCCCCCCCAGGCTGGAAGCAGATCCCATCCCCTACCTTCCACACATTTAAGTATCTGTCACATTTTGGCATGAACTCTGACAGAAATTTGAATGGGGGGAGGGCCCTGTGCGCCCCCCGTGTTACCCATGAACAGGGTTCGACAAATAATACAATCTACTCGCCACGGACGAGTAGATTGTAACCTGGAAGAGCCGGGTTCGGGCGATCTGCGCATGCGCAGATCGCCGGACAGTGCGGCTGGTGAGCAGGGCTCGCCGCTGTTCGGCGAGCCCTGCCCATGACGACCCCAGAGCCAGGTACCAGGAGAAGTGAGTCCCTCTCAGGGGTCCAGCCAGGCATGGTGGATGGGGAGCACTGGGCGGGGGGCGGTTGGGGCAAGTCAGTCAGCCCTATCCCCATGTGAGAGGTGTAAAAGTGTGTGAGCCCACATCACCGCTGCCTGTGCAAACCTTTAAAAATAAGAAGGTAAACAGAGACCCAAGCGACACAGGATTTCTTTTTAATAGGGGCTCAGTCAACTTGATGTTAATTTGTGTTTGTACTGCATAGTTCTGAATGTTTGATTGCCACTGACTTGAATATGAGTAATTTTACCAGGTGTCCTGTATTCAGCATAGAGGAATATGGTTACCCTAACCATACTTGAGGCTCAGATACCACAAATGAGGCACTGAGAAAATATATGTATCTATTGCCATTGTGGCTAAATGAAACTCTGGGGACTACCACACCAGCCACAAAATACCACAAGTTCTTAACATGGACACAAACCCTGTAAAAGAGCAGAAGTTAGTCCAGCTGCAACGCTGCATTTCCAGACTCTTTTTTAAAAATAAATGATAAGTAATGAAAATGCTGGGAAAAGCAGTGTGCTAAAAGTGAACTTCTCCGCACAAGTAGTAGTGAAACGATCCTAAGCAGATTGCTAGACAATTGATGGCCAAACTCATCCAAGGATATGAGGAGAGATGTAGCAGGCATGAATCTGATCCCAAGGCTTAACGTACCTTAACTTTGGACTGCTGCTCCAGTTGCAATGTCTGTTCCTGCAGCTGAGCAAGATTAAGAGCCTCTTTTGCATGGCCTGAAATAATAATGTTGTTTAAGAACTTGTTCCTGTAGAACTTGATCCTATTTTTCTAAGCAAACAGCGCCCGTGAAAGATGTCATTTTTGGCTCTAGAAACTCAGCTCTTTACCCACAAAACTTACAGTCCAGGCACTAGTCACATGATGCCAAGTCAAAAGGGCAGTGAGTAATTGTTTGATGTAATCATGTGCAATAGCTGCCTGAAAGCAGCTAACAGATGCAACTATTTTTGAAGCACAGGCAGGGAATCTAAAGCCCAGGGATCAAATCCGGCCCTGAGGCTCCCCTCCACCATTGAGGAGCCTGCACTGGCACTCAGCCCCATGGCCCTCCTGCAACTCCCCATGTGGGGCTAGAGAGCCAGCTTCCCACTGTGGGGGAGTCCCATGCCTTGCAGGCTGGAGTTGTACTGCCTATCCCTTCCCCATGCTGGCACAGCAAAGCCCTGACTGGAGGCTTTTGCCCCTATTGCTCCAACTGCCTGTGTTTGTGGTCAATAGGAGCAGCAGGAGACAGTGCCTGTGACACAGAGCAATGTGTGTCCCCAGATAGCTGCATTGGGTAAGTACATCATCATCCAAACCCTGCACCTTCACTTACCCAGACCCCCTCATCCCCAGCCCACTCCTGCACTCTCTCTCCCACCCAGACCCCACACCCAAGAATGCTTCCTGGCAAACCCCTCCACACACTGAACCCCTCATTTTTGGCCCAGCCCCACCCTAGAGCCCATGGGCCCCCACAAAATCCATAGCCTGGGCCCCCTTAGTGGGGAATGTCTTTCTGCTTCTCAGTTGGGGGCCGCATAAATGGGTTTTTTTTTTTTTTTTTGGTGTGTGCTTGCTTCTCACTTGTGTGGCCCAGGACTGATTTTTCTTGCAGTCAGTGGCCCCCTATCCAAAAACGGTTTCTGACCCCTGCTTTAAAGAAACTACCGAGAGTTTAAAGCTTTCAAGAAATGTGTTTTGTGTGTTATGTTCTTCAAAACTGTTGAGTCCCCTCACTTCAGGCCAGGAACCTTCATCACCCTCAAATACTCCCCACTCTTTTACTCCCCAAAAGAAAGGAATATTTAAGTGCTCAAAAATGTATGCATTATAATTTGGTAATTTACTCTTTATCATAATGAGACTCTGAACCAAATGTATGAATAGAAGCGGGGGGAGGACTGGACACAGGAGACAGAGTCAGTCACTTCTAGGTCACAAATCTGAAACCGATGCAGGTCAAAGGTCGCACAAAGTTATTAGCAGCAAATGGCAGGTAGCTTGTGTAAATTCATTGGCGGGGAGGGAGAGGGGTTCAGCCCAACTTTCAATAAACCAGCTTCCATCAACAGAACTCTCGTGAACCCCAACGGTCACAAAGCACGGGCAGGGTCACCAGGACAGGGCTGCTGCCCCGCCACAGAAAAGGTCTCGCCAAGGCAAGGAGACACATGAACTGGGCGACCCTGCGAAGCGGCCAGCGCGGTGCCAGCCTCGGGCCCAGACTCAGAGGCTCCGGAGCGGCGAGTTTTAGGCTGTCGCCAGTAGCGCGCGATGGGCACCATGACGCCAAGTCACCTCGCCCCCCCCCGCGGCCATCAGGACCCGTGTTAATGCGGGACCAGCTGGGGCCTGGCGTTTGGGCAACTGACGCTCAGAATAAAGTCAGCTCCACGCTGCACCCGTCACCAGCACCCGCCTCAGGGCA